TTTTCATAAATGATTCAAAATGCAAAAATTTATTTTATGTAAGCAGGAAGCTAAGTGGTTTTCAGTACACAAAAGAGGAACTGCAAAAGATGAGCTACTTCTGAAAATCAATAGGAGAAATGATCTTTCTCATGAAACATTAAAGGAGATATTTTGGTTAGCCCCAATTTGTTTTTAAGGTAATACAATTTATCTGGGTGAAAAACGTATTTCTACTATTATAATAAAGATCATCTAACTTAAGTAACATCAGCAGTTACCCAAAATGAAGGTTTTTTTAAATGATGATGAAAAAAATCTCAGTCACTTGTATTCTACTAGAATCTCAGTATCCTATCTTTATGCTGATTTGTATCCAATTTGAGTAGAAATGGATATGAGTGTTTATCTTCCATAATAGCTTGCCACAAGCCTACTGCTTGAATCATGTAGCATATGGAAAATGTGTTTAGCTACTTGCAGAATTTCTCAAACAAAAAAAAGATTCATTTCTGCTCATATGGCTTGTTTACAGTCATTATAAAAGCATGTTACTATGTTGCTTACTAGTTAGGAGAAGCAAGTGTTGGCATACTCCACATTCCATTACATTGGCCTTTAGGAAATGTACGTATTGATTTTCAGTTATAAAATAGTAAATCATTATAATTTCTTGTGTTTTAGACCTGAACATTTTAGGATGTATTTTTATTCTTCCACATTATATCTCTTCTAGATATTTTATGGTAGTTATTGACACCTTTTACAAAAATATATTAGAGACTGTTCATGCTTATGTGAATTGCCATCACAGGATTAATCTGTAACTTATATGAGCATATTTTATTAATAACATCTTATCACTAAATTGAATATGGATATTTAACATTTAATAAGCACAGAATGTATATGTAGAAATGTACTTCATGCCATTGGGTTTTGAAAATGTGGAAAAGCCATTACAACAGCCTAAGAATCTTTAAACATGCCCCCCATAATATACTAGTTGCAATGTTGCAACTCATTTAAGGAATAGTTCTTGATAACAATGATTATAATATTTTTGTTTGTCAGCATACTAAACAATATGTCCTCAACGTATGGAAATAAAATGTTTGATACAATTTTAAAAATATAGATTGTACTCTCTCTTAAATTCTGGAAATATATTTGCCATTTAATGATTCATAAACATGAAACTCATAAAGTGAAGGAAGAGAATTCAAAACTATAAATATGAAAAATGATTAATTTTTTGTAGTAGTTTATTCTTATTAGTAAAGTAGTATAAGTTGTCTACAAAGCAGTATTTTTTACATGGCTGAATAATTAAAAAGTTTTTAATCTTTAAATATTTGATTACTTTTATCTTTAAAATATCTTGATTACTAAATGACTGTTTCATCATTTATATATAACTACATATACATATATCCATTTATATTTATGTTTGTTTAAATAGTAGATTATAAATGTAAATATGTTTGATATGTATCCTGGCACCAGAAGCCAATTCTTTTTCCTAAATGACAAAAAAGCTTGTTAGCCTGAAAAAAAAATAACTTTTGTTTAGGTTCTGTCATGTACAAAAATATTCTAGGCAGCTTCATCTCCATTTTGAACAATTCTACAGTTCAGTCAAAGTTTCTCTAAAATTATTTGGTTTCTCATTTTCATGAAATAAAACGAATATTTAGGGAAACTTTCAATAAGTATTTCACTAATTCTTGCTATTGCTCTTTTGTTTAAGTCATTTTGAGATATCATCAAAACATTTTCAAAAGTTCTCTGTATGAAAATACATGTATACATATGTATATGTACATACATAAATAATCTCTTACATGATTACATTCGCATGGTTGAATGGCTTCTCCTGAAAATCTCTTTAATGTTAAGAATACCTGGAGAATAGCAAAGGGACAACGTCTGCTTTAAAGAATGTTCTGTGTCTGGAAGTAGAGACAAAATTTTCCGAGTATACATGGAGTCTAACATTTCCTGGTGCTGGATGATGAATCAATTTTGTAATTACTGAACATACAGTTTATTCTCAGATTGCACATTTCTCACCGTAACAGAGGCCTGGAGCAGTTGTGTGTATGGGCATAGAGTGTGCATTTATTTCCCAGGCCAGGGGACCAGAATGTGGGTCAGTCCAGCAGTGTTGGTGATGAGGCAGGTGGAGTTGTCCCCAGTGCCAGAGGCAGTTCTATCGCTCTTTTATGTGCTCCTTGGGCTACAGAGCTTCTTCACTCCACAAGGCCTTGTACCAGAGCATTGCTCACAACCTTCTTGCTACTCCACCTGGGAAGTAATTTTCTCCCTCCCATAATCAGGGAATATATTTTTCTTAATACAAACTATAAACCTGAATTCAAGAATATTCAGAATTTTGAGAGTATCTTTCTTGCACTGCTCTATTTTCTTAATACAATGCCAAGTTTACTCATAAGCATGAAGATCAAGGATATTGGACTATTAGAGATAGTTCCCATTTAAATTTTTCTGTCTTCAACAAAATCATTGAAATAATCTCTCTATTCAAGAATCTTCTTTTTCCACCACCACTCATCATGTACTCATTTCAACAGAAATTGCTCTGAAGAGATACAAAATTGACCGTTCTTCAGTGAATTAGGGCTTAAAATGCAAAATAAGCTGAATTGATACAACTTATACCAACATTATTGAGGGTCTACTGAGTTCCCAGCACTGAACTAAACCGGATAAAAATTTAATTAAATAAATCACCATGGCTAAAGACCTCCTAGCTTCACAGCATTGAATTAGACTTGATACAGAAGTAACATGTTCTTCACTCTGAAGTGTAAAGCAATGAGATCATAACATATCCTTGAAAATATGGATCAGGATATCGCAACAGATAAGACACAGAGACGGATAAATGAATATCAGAAGCCAATTGGATATGTAAGGAAAGTGAATGACTTACAGTGTTCTGGCTTGGGGGATTAGGTAGATTTCACTCCCCAGTAACGCCTACAGAGTACATGGTGAAAAGTGCTGGCAAGGCTGAGACAGTGAAGCATTGCTGAGAGAGGAAATGGTGATCAAGAACTCAATCAAGTTAATGTTGGTGCTGGAGAAAATTACAAATTAATAAATTTTGTGCTGTGGCCCCGATTCCATCTTTTCAAACTCAGTCATCGCTGTGTAACTTAAGTCTTTGTCACTTTTTGTCTGGACTAAGTAGTCTTCTGTTCTCCAGGCTCTATATTACAGCTAACGTAATTATTCCAAAATGAAATATAATCACCTTTCTTTCTTGCTTACATCCTTTCACTGGTTTCTTATTGCTTATAGGAACAAGCTTAATCTTTTTACCTTGGTATACCAGGCCCTGTATGATATGGCTACGACTTGTTCTCCCATGTCTGCTCCTATCATTGCCCAGTCTGGCCCTATACTCTCATCTTAAGAAAATGCTAACATGGATTTCACTAAGGATATCATGCTGTTCTATAGTTTCGTGTCTTTGCTTATGCCAATTCCTTCTGCATAGGATGCTGTCCTGTCTTCATCTCTTTTAGCTTTTTTCCTTTCCTAAACTTCTGTAACTGGTAGCTCCCCTCATCTTTTAAGATACTGTTTAAATATTCTCTGTTTTAGACCTTTTGCTGACCTTTCCCAGTAGCAATCTATCATCTGTTATAACCAGACCTTACATCTCTACTAAAACAATTAGAAAAATGGATTTAAGTTATTTACATGTTTGCCTCTTTTATTAGACCATGGGATTTTAGCTAGTTTGGGTTGGAAATAAGACAATGATGCAATGATTCATAGCTTTCTAACAAAATACATCTATTGGTATCTATCAATGAATAAAGGTGACTATCTTAGACTTTCCCAAATCAAATTTATCTTTCTCAACAATTTGACTAAGTTACAGATCACTCTTTTATTATGCGTTCCACACTCGTGAGAAGATGGTATTCTAGATGTCAAACATATATAAAAGAAGAGAGAACAGTGTAATGAATTCTATTACCCAGTTTCCACAATTATTAACTAATGGTCAACTGTGTTGCCTCTACACTGTCTGTAGCTCCACTCTCTCATCTTCCCTCCAAATATTTGAAGCAAATTCCAGACATAATAACATTTCATTCGTGAATATTACAGTGTGTATTAATATTTCTAAATGATAAGGGCACTTTTAGAAAACATTGATGATACCATTATCACATCTAAAATATTTGCAATTTCCAAATATCACCCAATAATTAGTGTTCAGTTTTGCACTACTTCTTAGATTTTAAACTGTTTAAATACAAGTGTAGTAAGGTCTATGCTTTGTGAATGGTTGATTGTTTTCTTTTCTTTTTTTTTTTTTTTTTAGGGACAATTTTGCTCTATTAGGGATATTTTGTCAATATTCAGAAACATGTTTGGTTTTTACATGAAAGGAGGAGTGCTACTGATATCTTGTGTGTGGAGGCCAGGGATACTGCAAAACATCCTACAATACACAAGGCGCCACCACAATAGAGAATTATCTAGCGAGACTAGTAAAAGGGTGACATTGAGAAACCCTGGTCAATAGGTTCCCCCTGCATTATATATTGTATTGCAATTTATTTGTTGAATAAACTGGGTCATTTGTCTTATAAAGTTTTCCACATCTATATTTTGTTAATGATACATCGTAGTATAATTTAACATTTTTTTCTGTTTCTTGCATCATCAGATTCATATACAATTTTCTTTTGCTATGAAAACTGCTTTTTTTTCTGTGTCATAGATAGTGTTGTGTACTTCCATCAGGAGGCATATAATGTCTGATCATCTCTCTCTTTCTCATCAGTATGGGAAACTATTGGTGATCAATGTCTAAATTTGTTAATTCATTAGGAGTTGAAAAATATTCATATTATATTTTTATAATTTATTCATTTATTGAAAACATCACTGACTCTTAGAAATATTCACTCCAACGTTTGATAGAAAAATAGCATTGTGCATGAAACATTTATGCATTTTGTATTTCTTTTCAGAAACATCCTGTACCACCTTGATGAAAAGACAAGCCGGTTTTCAATACTTGTGGAGGCTTGGGAACACTGCAAACCCCTTGCATCAAATGAGACCCTTCAGGAAGCCCTGTCAGAGGTGTTGAACAGCATTAATTCAGCTCAGGTTTACTTCAAAGCAGGACTTGATGTGTTCAGGAGTGTCTTGAATGGGAAGAATTGAGAAAACTCTGAGCATTTTTTAAAGTTTGCTTACAATTCCACAAGCAAAAGCTCTAATTGAACCAGATTTTCTGATATTGAAGGCTTATTTTCCCCCATGGCTTTTTGACAAGTATAAAGCTATTATTACATTGTATTTTTTAAATGTAAATATAAAAAGAACATTTTGCACATTTAATATTTTTTGTATCTACATTTCTGACTATGTAAAGCAAGTTATTGAAATAGGACTTAAGAATTACCTATTAAAAAGAAATCTGATATTTTTTATATGTGTGTATATGTATATATATATACACACACACACATACACACACACTATTTTGAGGAGAAAGTTTCAAGAAGTTCCAGAGTATCTTTGTTCCTATGGGCAGAGCATATAGGAACACAGTTTATTCTCTCTGATAGAGCTATTAATGACCTAGTTTCTGTAAAAGAAATGAAGAGTTGATATGGTTCCGATTAACTTCACTATTAAGTGTTCAATATGAAGAATTCAAGTATTGTGACTGAGTGATTGGTTGACCTAAACCACTTTGAATGTTTCTATTTTATGAAATGAAGTTTCTCTTCCTAACACAACTAGATGTAGTAATACACTGGTTATGAAATTGTATTTTTTTAAGTATTAATGAAAAAAGAGCCATAAGCATTCCAGGGAAAAATCTCAAGGTAGCTACACAGAGCAATTTAAATGCAAATTTTTTTCCTAACAACTTACAAGGTGACTAGCTTTGAAACCCCTAATTTGCCTCAGTTGATTTTCTAAGAATTTCAGGAGTGATGTATGTCTTAAGAGGGAGAAAAAATATATCTTACTACTTTTTCTCTTGTTTCTTTTGGAATCACTGAAACAGGGACTACTCTAAAATGAAAGCATCTCACATTGGTTTTCTTTCTTGTAGCTTTTCTGAAACTCCTTGCTGTAAGGCAGCTTTCACAGAGTACTATATATTTTCCACAGTAAAGTAGCAAAGTTTCTCTTTGAAACCCAAAATATCTTCTAAAGCATCAAATTTCTATTTCTGCCTCTGACAAAAAGAACTTACTATGAAAGAAATAGTTGTTTTTATCAATAAAAGCTCCTTAATACTATGAAGAAACTTTTGGTATTTTTTCTTCTTTATCCTTAATTGTGACTAAGATGGAAATCTAGAAAATCTTCATGCTTCTAAGTTTCTACAGGGTTACTGTAAGAGAGTGTCTCATCTGCACTTCAATTCTTCTCTCATGTGGAAAACTAAGTTTTTTATATTGACATTGCCGTTGAATAGCTCTAGCAATTATTATTATTCTCCCAAACACTAACATTCTACCTATTAAGTATCAGGTTAAAGTTCTCGTTTATCTTTAGAAGTTTATTTGAAAAATGGTTTTCAAATACTGGATAAAGCAATTCCCCTTAGGAAACATAGCCTCAGAGTATTTCATATAAATTTTCTCTACCTAATTCAAACATACTTCCCCATCATACACCACCAGAGCAACATTCCAAATAGTCTGTGTATATTTAAATTTTCACTTTTTATGGATGAGCATAAACCTAGTCTTAGTTTAAAGGCAAACTAAAGTTGAGGGAAGACAATTAATCAATATTCATTAATTGATTTATAAGGTTCCACACTTTCTACCCTAAATTATTTTTATACGCTCAAGGCAAAGCACGGAATTGAGGCAATTAGCTAGATAATTCAAGCAGAAACCCATTTTCATGGAAATTGCCTGTGTGCACATATTTTTAGATGAAAAATGAAACTACCTTACAATATTATTTTTTACCAATGTATTTGTTTGAAAACATTTGCCATGTTGAAGAATGTGTATAGGAAAGGGCTAGAAATAAACAGGCTTGTGCATACCGAGACATTCATAATCTTTCTTCCTCTTCAGAGATCATCAGAAAAGAGGTGGGAATACACATGCAGGTGCATGTGAGCCCAAATGCCAGAAAGTCTTATACCAGAAGAACTTAAATATTTAACCACAGGTTGATGTGTTCATTCCTGTTACTCATTTACAGATGAAATTAAAACAAAGAAAGGCATACTATTATCAGTTTGGTAGTTCACTATTTTAGAGCAAATTTCTAAATGAATTTATTCCCATAACCTGCAATAGCACTGAGAGCAGAAAATATGTTTCTTCTTCACCTTTGTTTAAAGATTGCGTACCTAGGTAAGTCACATTGTATAGATAAAAACCTTCTTCTGTATTCCTCACCTCTAAATTAAATGTTATTTGCTATTTGAAAACTGTAGTTAACTATGGTTTTTATTAGTCTATTAAGAGATACGTGGAGAAATTTAATTATAACTAAAGCAGATGTCCAAAATTCTATACATGCTGCTTTACATCTTTGCAACAAACCTCTTAACTAGCAGCATTATTTCTATAGTGTGATTACCTGAGAGTGCCTCCAAATGTATATCATTTCACTCCCCTCCCCACCCCACCCCCAATAGATCCAAATAAATAAAATCCTGAGCAAGTTAATAGCAAGTGTTATGTGAATTGGTAGTAGGTTTAAATTGTTGCTGAGTTGTCCATATGCCTGATGCTTCTCACAATCTTTCATAAATAGAATCGTGCCCAGGAAATAATGAATCATGAATATTCTCTGAAGAAAATGTGGCAAAGGCGTAATAGTGAAATTTATGTTCAGGCAGGGTATGCATGAAATACTGCCCTTTATGGAAAAGCATAAGTCTCAGAATCAAAAGAAAGCCTAAGAAGGATTCTGGTCTAAGCCCTGAGATCTTGCCTTCAGCCAGAGAAGGCACTATCAGTTACCCCCACCAGATGTAATAACTAAACCCAAAGCGAATAAGAAACTTGGACATAGTCGTGTATTTAGTTAGTAACAAAAGCACCACTGGAATTTAAGCTTCTCTGCTTTCTCATGCAGTATATCTTGCTTTTCCCTGAGGAGACAGGGTTATAAAAGATCTTTTCCAGTGCATTCTATGTAACCAGCCATTCTATCAGATGTTGCATGGGCTGGTTTTAATTCAAGGCTAGTTCTTTCTCTGACTGTACCTGACAAACAAAACTGTCCCCAGGAATTCGGGCAAAGGAAACAAAGACTGCGTACTTGAGAGAACGTGAGGAGAGTCCTTACAGAACACCAGAAGTCAGGAAGAAGGACATTGAGCAAACTATTTCTGTGAGAGGGCAAGTTAGGCCAGTGTTAACTAAACACTCTAAACCACCATTTCTCAAAATGTGAAATTTAGAAAGACAGGGCTAGGAATCTACATCTTCAGCAGGATTTCTGGATGTTTCTTACACACACTGATGTTTAAGAATTTCCAATCTACATTAATCATAGGTTCCAACGGAGGTTCCGAGAAAATTCTAGTTGACATTTCTAGATAGATTGAAGAGTCACAGTAACAAGAAAGACATAAATCTTTGTTATTAATGGAATCATTATGAGAAAAGAAAAGTGGACCTATTTTATCCCTAAGAAAACAATTCAGTTGCAGCTTATATTTGCGCTTGCTACATCCCAGGGACTGGTGTTCTAGAATTTTCCCATGTATTTTTTTTTTAATTCCCACAACAACACATTTAAAAATGAGAAAACTAGGTTGAGTGACTTGTCCACAGTTCCAAAGCTAATAAAAATGATGAGGCATATTTCTCTTCTGGGCTCACTGTATTCAGTTCTTTGTTCTTACACTGAGTGCTGAAAAAAAAAAAATCATACTATTTTCATTCTAGAAAGTGATATAATTGGAAATTTTAACGTATTTCTCCAAAACTGATCAGACTGTGCAGTCTGCCATTTTTTTGGTATAATAAAAGGGTTCGAAGAAACAAATGACATCATTCCTGATGATGGTAGCCCCTCCAAAAATGGTGTATATATGTAGGTAAAGTTTGAAGATATCTAAAGAGCATGAAAAGGCAAGTGCACCATTGTGGAATCTCATGACAAGTAGGCTTACAAACAGTAAAAAGAGACCAGAAACCACAGGTCTTACACTTTCCTTCTCTAAATGCTTACATAATTTCAATTAAAAAAAGAAAAGCAGGTGCTGTGATTTAGAACCACAGTTTTATGTTATTTTTTAAAATTCAGAATAACCAATTGACTTTTTTAATTAAATAAATGTAGAACATATAGTAAGTTTCCCCAGAAGAAAGATAGATGTTCACAAAAATAAAATAAATACTTATTTGTGACCATCTTACTAATGATGAATCAGCATCTTTGCCTCAAATGAAAGTCTATAATTATTTGTATGACAAATTGGTAGACCTAGCCAAAAATGTTCTCATGAGACATTCTGTGATATGTGTAATTGATTACTCCAAAAATAAAGCTTTCTCTGAGGGTAACACATTGTCATTTCATTGGTTTAATGGACTATTTAAATGTGCCTCAGCCTCACATTTGCTTAATAGAAAGGAATTATTTTAAACTACCAATCCATATGTTGAGTGGAAAGGAAGTTGGCCCACATATTCCAATAAAAATATCAGCAACGTAACAGTTTCATCACGAGACCATGGATACAGTGCAGGGAAAAAACAAACAAACAATACAATATTTGAGAAAATAAATATTCTGCCCAGCCACACTAGTGAGTTTTTATTTCTTTTATGAGTTTAAATTATCAACTTTAAAAAGCCTCATTAGAATTTGCTATTCAGAAAGACCTTAAAAAGCCTCACAGAGTTCTAAGCATCCCATTCATTGAAAATACTTTTCAGTTAAGTAGATTTGTTTTGTGCACTTCACAATTTTAGGTGGCATGAATTTGAAGCGCAGCAAAAGAAATGTATAAAAGATAGCCTTTTCTGGTCATTACCGTGTCTACTCAAGTTTCTGTTTTCTAGGTACACTCTAACATTGTAATTTTTCCCCCTGAGAAGTAATTTTAAGATCTATCAGTCTCAATTTAAATGATCTGTTAATCAGCCAGAGTTTTAGTTTCATAATATCGTTCCATTGTCTGACAAAGATATACACACTAAAGTGCCTTTAGCAGGCCTGGGACTGTCAAGAATCTAGGTATCGTGATTATTGCAAGATGACATATTTCTTAAGACGTTTATAATCTTATATTTGGATTTAATCTGAATTTACAAATAAAAGGGTTAAATTGAGGCAGTTTCAAGTAGCATTTAAGAAAATGAAGTGGCTTCAAATTTTAATGTTTCTGGTTAGATTATTTTGTTTAAATTATACAATTATATAATTTTCTGTAACCAAAATGGTAATTTTGATGGATTTTTTAATGCCAAAATCCAATCATCAA